GGAACCAACGCTATGGTAATGAAGCGTTTAAGGATTGCTCAAAGAAAAATGGAGARAAAAATGCTAGGAATACGACTACAAGACCGAAAGGCAAACGAATGGATCATTGTTTTCATAAAAATTACGATTTTGGGTTTTAAGAATTCGCACCACTAAATAACGAACAAAGCGCGAAAGAACAAAATACTGTGCAACATACATATAATAGAGTTATATACATTARTCRCTTTAAGCAGAAGATATAGCCTACAGATCGTACACGGATATGCAACGACGGCAAGTTCAGATTACGAAGAAGCTGATATCTTTTACGAAGATATAATAAAGGCAAGGAGGCAAGAAGAACACAATTCGTGATAATTATAGGAGATTTTAAAGCAAAATTCGGAACAAAAGAATACGGAGACACACATTATATTGGCCACTTCGTGCTTGGGACAGCAACGAGAAGGGGGAGATGCTGTATAGCTACTTGAACAATGAAAATCCAATTTGCCTCAATACCTTTTTCGAAAAACCCAAACAACATAAAGGGACCTCGAACAGCCCAAACGGAACAACTAAAAACGAAACAGACTCCATTATCTCCAATAAGAACAACATATGCACCGACGTGTCCGAGCTGAACAAATTTTATACCAGTGAAAGCAAGGATTCAGATAAACATAAAACGCAACAAACTCATCAAACAAGAACGCTATCCAACATCAGAAATTCTGACACAAAAACAAATCGAATAGCAAAATGTATTAGAAACAAGACTAGCAGCAATAGAAACAATTAAACAAATGCAAATAAACGAATTAGCGGCAAAATTAAAAGACAACAAAAATTTGTTGTGACCAAGCAACCTTGTCTTTGAACAAGGAAGTGAAAAAGTAAATTATAAAGGGCCGTAGAAACTATACCAACAAACGAATAATGGACACATTAAGAGAAAACTGGTACATGAAAGTACTAAAAACAAAAACTCAAGAGGCCGGACAAAAATTACAAAAATAAAAAACGAGAGAAACGTGATCGTCTAAGACAGAAAATATACTAGAAATAGGACATTATAAATGTGTTTCTTATTTATTTTTTATTATTTATTTCTGTATTTGTTTTTTTATTGGTAGATTTCCAAAAAGCATTTGACTTCGTCGAAATATGGTCAGTGTTAGAATCATTAGAAAACGCAAGAATTGATTCAAGATATACGAACAACATAGATAAAGAACATCTACAAAAATGGACTGAGAACTGGACGAAGAAACAAAAACAAGCCCCATAAAACTGCAACGAGGCAAGGAGATACTATCTCGCCCAAACTATTCAACTTCGTCCTGGAAGATATTTTTAAGAAATAGAACTGGGACACCAAAGGTATGAACGTCGACGGAGTATACTTAAATCATCTCAGATTTGCGGATCGCATAATCTTAATGGCAAATAAGCTGCAGGAATCAAACGAAATGCTACAACGACTAAATGATGTCTCCGCTATTGTAGGGCTTAAAATGAACTTTAAGAAAACAAAAATGATGAGCCACGACCAAGCAAACATAACAATACAGAACGGTATTATAGGAAACGTCGAACACTATGGGTACTTGGGCTACTACGAACACTATCAGATAAGGGAAATCAAACCAGGATGCGGAAATTAAAAGAAGAACACAACCAGCATGGACCGCTTTCGGTAAACTTACATATACAGGGTTGCTCATTAGTGCGTCAAAGTGCGATATCTCAGTAAATATGAAGTTTACAAGAAAATTCGTCCAACGAAAGTTTTTCA